CAAAGGAAATTCTCAACTATTGGTGAAAAGAATTTTATTAGTATCCTAAGTGAAAAAGAAGTTATTATCTGTTTGAAGATACAGGAGCAAGTGACAGGGATAATTGTCTTCCTTAATTTCATACGCAGAAAAAAAATATCTAGATTTTTTGATGCAATCTAAGTACAACGGAGGCATTTATGTTTTACATTTATAATGGGAACATATTTTTAAGTGATTTGGAAAATTAGTGCAACCACTATAACAAATGGTTGAAAAGATAGGACAGAATAATTCATTGTTTTTAAACAGTGTCCTCTTAAATGGCTCATTGGACACAAGGCCATCAATATGACAACAAATAATTTGTTACAAGCACCATGATGGCAGTTGGCACCGAGCTAGGCCTACCAGCCATGCCTCACTGGCTCAGCCTGCACTGCACTATCCACCAATGTATTTATAAATGCTTTTCCACTTGTTAATTGCAAAGCATGACAGAGATTTGCCCATATTCTACCTCCTACTTTAAGTCTCATTTCCTTCACCTAGAATATTATCAGATATTTCAACCATGAATAAGAGTAAAAAGAGGTAAATTGGATCTGCAAAGGATAGAGGGAGAATAAAAAAAATCTGATAATTATATTTTACACACTATTTTCACTGAAAAGACATACTACACTAGATTCTCAGAATGCTTCTAAGATTGGCAAAAACACGTTTCTAAATCTTTATAGCTTGCAAAATTGCTTTACTTACATAATCTTACTTAAATCTCCCAATACATACTATGTCTATTTCTCAGAATAGTAATTTAAGGCACAGAGAAATAAAGTCACATCTCCAAGTTTATTTTAAAAAATAAAATAAATGAACTGAGATACTTGAGTTCAGACCTTTTCACTTAATTTCTTGCCTTTCACATGCCAGAGAGCTAAGTATAGTCTAATCTAAAGGAATGTTTTGATAATTTTTATTTTATAAATATTAGTTGATGGGATATTTGGTTAAAAAATGTAGAGAACACATGTTCAAGCTGTTGACTTGATATTCAGAAAATTGGACCATTTCTATGTTTATTGGCCATTTGTCTATCTTCTTTTGAAAAGTATAATGAATGCTTTCTGGATGATGGACATATTTGTAACCATGACTCAGGCATTACAAAAGCAAATCCTTGTGACCAAAAAAAAAAAAATCTGTACCCCCATAATACTTTGAAATAAAACACAAATTAACAAATGAATCTGCTAACTACTATAGTTTCTAGATTTTTGAAATGTTTTAAATTTGTTAAAACAGTATCATATATGTGGGAAAAGCATTTAAGCAACGAAGAGATCCGTGTTTTTAACAGTTCTTGCAAATAAACATTCTATTTGTTATTAGTTAGAGAATATGAACTTAGGTAACCCTATATTCCTGATAAGTATTTAACCATGTAATTTAAACCTGTTAAAACATTTCTGTTCTGTAGAATTCTCCATCTAATAGATGCAGTGGTAACCAATTTTAGTATGATACCCGCTTATCATTAACTAAATGGATCAAAATTGTTTTAAAAAGTAATTGGAAATATATGAGCATTTTTCTTCATTAAAAATTTTTTAAAGGAAAAACTATGTTCACATTACTGATAAATTTGTAGTATATTCATAGTAGTATAAAACTATGTCATATTAATATGTAGTATTTGTACTATCCTACAAAATAATAATGATGCATAAAGAAGGAACTCACTATTAATACTCCAATTTCCTATTTTGGCTCTGAATATCTGCATTCAAAATACAGTAATTGAATTACCCAAGCAAAACTGAATGCAACCTCTTAGCAAAAATCTGCTGGAATTCATTTTTAATGTAATACTTAGACTTTTGATAAGAAACACTTATACTATTTTCTCTCTCTCCAGTAGATTATACTTAGGACCTGAAAACAGCTCAAGAGAAGTATGCAAATTAGAATTTGTAAAATATGTAAATGTGATGGGGTTTTTTTGGGCAATTTTACCAATATGCACATATTTTCCTTTGACATTGGAAAAGAATTTCAAAATAGAAGGAAATGGCATTGTGGATAAAGTATAAAGGATTATATTACATTGACTAGTTAAGCACATTTAGCAACTCACATCTTTGAATATTAAATATTCAGAAAATTAATTCTTTAGAAATCTTTTCAAGAACCATTTTTATTCTATAATTAAAATTCATGGCTTTAAAATATTGTGAAGCTGTCATAATTCGCATCTAATGACTTGTTCTGTGTTTATTTTAATATATTATCCAACGGTGATAAAGTAACTCAAAATATACAGACATACACTTAGTAAGAATATTATAATGTAATTGATCGTTGTCTATTTTCCCAATAATTATAGAAAAAAATAACCATTGACATTTGTTAAAAATTATGTTCATGTGATTGAATGTACATTATCATCCTTACTTGTCAAGTTATTGATCATTATAGAAATGGATAGGAAAAACAATATCAAAACTATGTCAAACTTTACATCTTATAAGATGTTCTCCGTCTAAAAGCCATCCAATCTTATCTATATCAGAGTTCTCTTTTAAGTCCAATATACATAATAAGTAGATTAAAAATCTAATATTTAATCACCATTTTTAACAAACTTAAGCCCCAAAAGTACTTTCTGTTGATTCAAATGCTAAATTTTAATCACTTAATGCATGTTAAGACATAAGCTCTAAAGTACTCAAGAATTTTTAGAAGTCAATGAACTTTCTCTCTTTTAGAATACATCAAAGCAAAGGACTATTTTTTGCATTAAGTAAGGATTAAAACATTTCTGTCACAGATTATTAAAATAATTTAATCATTATTTTACAGGCACTTACATATATTTTGCAATATTTAGATTGTCTCTCAAACTTGTTTTGATTTTTGAAATTTTATAATTGGCTCACTACAGTGTCTTCCAGAAATAATCACTCATCAGTCATCACACAGCATACTGATTTTTAATGAGAAGCATGTGATTTGAAAGGAGTGCACAAAATGAACACAAGGTAGAAGACAATGGAAATTCACCCTTTTATCACCATAAGAAAAGATTGAGAGCCCTGTATGAAGACCTGGCTTACCTGCACAATTTGTCGTATTTTTACCACAGACAACCTTGTCTCCCTGACTGAACCATTGGTATGTTATGTAACACCAAGAGTCCAAGCCACCCTAAACAATTTTATCCTCTTTAGCTCTTTTAAAGCTATGTCTCTGCATTTAGTGATGCTGTTAAGCATCTAATAAATATAGTTCAAGCATTTTAGCAGCCATCTTTATTGCTATCTTAGTACATTACCATAGGAGAGCATTTGAACAACGCTCTTAATTTTGACATGGAATTTCACAAAAACAGAAATGTAAACAATAGTTTGTAGTCTGACTTGTAGTCTCTCAAATAATTTTATCAACATACTAATTTGATCTTAGGTTAGAAATCATAGAGAGTTAGAAAATAAAGAGTGCCATGTTAGAAGAGTTTGTAATTTAAGCCTTAATTATTTAATCTTAGTTAGTTGGCTGGTCACTTGGTCTCCTCTCTCTCTTCTCTGATAAATTTTAAGGAAGGCTCTTTATAATTTTCTATTTTACTCCTGTTTTTCTCAATAAACCTCCTCCACTCCTCCCCCATCTGCACACTGAAAACCAGTCTAAAATATGGTTCTCATCGTTGTCTGTACAATTCAAATCTCTGGGGTTCGGGCATAGGCTTCTATATGTTTTAAAGCTCTTTAGGTGATTTTCAGTGTGTATCCAGGCTTCAGAATCACTTTTCTTACACCTGAGCCTTTGATTTATCTTAATTGTGAGATGAAGACTTTCCATAAAGAGGCATTTTCCACTATATACAAACATTATACATCCTAGTATACAAACATTCTTGCCATACAATTATGACTTGAAAGAAATTGTTTCTAGATAACTACTCTAGCAGACACATGTTTTACTCTCAGAATATTATATCCTTATTTCACAGGATATCATTAGATACTGCTGTGGAGATGAATACCCACTCTAGCTAGGAATTTTAAACTGTCTACTTACAAAAATTACTTGGGGACTTTTAAAATAAAAATCCTCCAAGAGTGATCTCTGATCAGGTTGAAAACCCCCAGCATTCTGCCTAATAATGTTAAGGACACAATTTAAAACGTGAGTTATTTCCTATTCTTCACCCGTCTCCCCCAGCCCCTCTGTTCTCATCCTTCTCTGCTTCCTCCTTCTCTTCTCTTTCCTCTTATTCTTCTTAATATTGATAACTTTGGTTATGGCTGCTTTTTAAAATGATTAAACTAAAATAAGACCCTTACATTTTAGTGTTAAATAATTTATTCAATTTATTATGTAGTGAATATTTGATTGAATACATATATTTTCCAATTTAATTGTAACACTTTAAGAGTAAATGGGTTAAACTTTATGTTCTTCTCTCATAATAAAAGAATAAAGTGAATATAGATCTGTAATAAGGGTTTAAACCACTATTATAATATGGGCAATTTCTTTTCTGACTGTGTATCACTTCTACTACTTCTCTAGATTGTTTTCCTCCTAGTTTCAATATTTTACTCTGGTTGAAGTTCTCTGTCTCCATAAAAGTTATCAGTATCATTAATCGTAATTTCTATTACATAATTCTGATGTTATTGGTCTGAGTGTGCCTTGCATTCATATACTTTAAAAGTTCCTGAGATGTTAAAGCCCAGATTGAGAACCATGGCCTATCTATGGCCTTACCACCCTGAAGGCGCCTAGATCTCAGAACTTAAGCATGGTTGGGTCACTTGGATAGGAAAATCATTGCCCTAACCATTGGATAGAGGTTACAGTCTGAGGAAACTTACCTCAAACATCAAGGATGTATAGTTTCTCAGTGGTTTTTAATAGATAAATATGGACAACTGCATACAGCTCAGTGACTCCTTTACCATTGTCAAATGTTTGCAATCCAATTCTGTGTCTTTGCATTTCTGACAATGACTTACCCAGATATTTCCATCTTGATGATAGGGTTTCCAATTTCTCCCTGTGTCACTGTAGAGCATCCGGTACTGGGTCACCCAATCAGAGCTGCTGTATCTTCCTTGAGTTGCAATGGCACTAATCTGCTTCCGGTTGCCAAAATCAACCTGAAGCCATTGATAATGGTCACTGTCTGATGGAGACCATCCCCCAGCACCTGAAGAGGGTGAGACAAGAGGGATAAATGAAAATTTAAATTTGAACTTGTACAATTGACAGTGGATTATTCCACATATCTTAATTGGCATTGGCAGTGCTATATTTCACAGATATATTATAAAATGCCCTTTATGGATGCCACTGGGACTTCAAGTAATATTCTTCCAGCTGGGTAACATTGATTCTTTAACCTCTTTATGGTATAATTATGTGCTCATTTTCTTCCGAGCAAATGTCTTCATAATTTCTCAATTAGATCTTATTAGTACATGTCAAGGTCTAATTGGCTGAGGGTTGATCAATTTACCATGAACTCTTCAGCTAAAATCATGAGAAAAAAAAATATGTAACTATCTAATTTCTTTCTCTTCATGTAAGGTTTTACCTTTTAGTAAATCATAAACAAAACAAAAAACAATTATATATAACTCCAAAATATATTTTGCCTTCAGGAGTTCATAATTTCAATAATCTTATTACTTCTTAAGATGAGGCCTATTCATACATTAATCCCCTATACTCATGATAACTAAGATATATAGGAAATTAGGCAATATGCTTATTATCAGTAGATATACAATGTCTCTTAGTAAATGTATTTCTAGGAAAATAATTTGAGTTAATAAAGTTAAACTCCTTTTGGTAAAATGGTAATATAATAATTAATATAACAATTTACTATATTATAATAGTAAAAATGTACAAACCTTTGTTAGAAAAAAGGCACCGATAAGAAAAACTCTCAATTTACAGTAATACTTAGAATAACTCCAGTTGCACACAAAATAAGTTACAGAAAATATGGCATAATGCTTAGTGGTAAGAGGCACTATAATATTTTTGGGTGAATTCAGCTACTAAAGGTAGTGAATGATAGAAAAGTATCCAATAAGTTATCTAATGTACAGTATATAAAAATATATGCACCACTTTTAAATATGGAATATAAAGACTGACAAAATAATTTATTCTATGAAGACTCTCGGAATAAAAATCATTTCTTAATTATCACAGATATATCCTTCATTTAACAATGTTGGCATGGCTTATTTCTGCTTAAAGGTATGATGGAATAGATCTCTAAACAATTTCTTTTTTTCTTTTTTTTTTCTTCTTTTTCATTTCAGCATATCATGGGGATACAAATGTTAAGGTTGCATATATTGCCCTTGTCTCCCCTTCCCCCTTGAGTCAGAGCTTCCCCTCCCATCCCCCAGACAGTGTGCATCACACTCAATATGTATGTATATACCCATCCCCTCCTTCCCCCTCCCACCTGCCCCACACTCGACAAATGTTTGTTTTTCTTTTTTTCTTAACATTTTGGTTACATTTTATATCTTTGCCTCTCCCTAGCAAGTTTTAGAGGTATGGTCTTCCCCTCCACAAGGCTCTCCACATCCCTCAGATGTGGGACTACCCCCTAACCCCTGAATCCCTGGTGAACACCATAACCCTTTGAGCACCAATTTCAAAACTGACAAAATATATAAAATAACTGTTTCTAGGGACTGGACTATAGGCAGTGCAGGACCCTGATCTACAAGAAAAGATAAATAAGTTGAGCCATGCCAACTTCCTGGCTCTCTGCCTATTTCACTTTCTGGATCATGCCACATGGAAGAGGATGCCAAACAGTATAGCATAATCATTGGGGTGAAGACAGATCAGAATTTAAAGCTACTGAGGAAACTGGATTTGTAGGAAAGAGTCCCAGAGAGAGGGTAGTGGTGTAGAGAAAGAACTCTGGAAATTCATATGGGGTTTACCAGTGAGCCTCTGGAGTCTAGACTCTGTACCAACACTATGCTGTTTATTTGCAGATCAAGACTCCACAACACCAGGTAAAGAGAGTTCTGAAATAAACAACAACTAGAGATTGCACAGTGCTCAGAGAAATTTGATTTCAGACTAGACAAGATTGAGATATCTTGTTGAACAACTCAGGCATTCAGTGGACATCCCAAGAAAGGTCATGCATTAGAAGTATGGACAGTTTAGTCCTAAAAAGGGGCAACTCTGGACACATCTGAACAAAGATAACCAAAAAAGATCAATCTGGTCCACAAATAAATTAACTCCTTTCTTGAATAAAACCAAACCCAACACTCCATTAGGAAAGGCCATAGAAGTATAGAAACTGAAGAGTGCATACATAAACTCCAGTATAAAATGTTTAAAAACATATACTAAACATTTGGAGAAGAAAATATGACTCACAACCAGATACAAAAATCAATCAATAGAAAAGGACTCAAAGATACAGAAACAATGAAGACCAGAAGTTTAAAACAGCAATTATAAATTAGTTCAATTATTTAAAAGAAAACATAAATACTGAATAAACAAATTCAAAATCTTCATGGAGAAAAGAAACAACAAAAGAGAATAAATGGAAATTTTAAAACTAAAAATTATATCTGAAATAATAATGAAAAAGGATGGATTTAAGAGCAGATTAGGCACAGAAGAAAACTTCAGTACACTAGAATATAGTGCCATACAAACCATTCAAATTGAAGCTCAGAGAGGAGAAAAAGACATAAAAAATGAATAGTACTCCAGTAAGCTGTGGACACTAATAGTTACCCTAATAATCATCCAAATAGAGTCATAAAAGCAGAAAAGTTAGAGATCGGAGCAGAAAAAGCTACATTTGAAGCCATCATCATACTGAATGTGAAAAAGTTGAAATAATTCCCACTGAGAACTTTAACAAGACAAAGATATCCATTGTCACCACTTCTATTCACCATAGTGCTGGAGGTCCTAGCCAGAGCAGTCTGGCAAGCGAAAGAATTTAAGGGTATTCAAATGGTGATAAAGGAGGTCAACCCATCACTCTTTGATGATGATATGATCTTATATCTAGAAAGCTCCAAAGATTCTTCCAAGAGACTCCTAGAATTGATAAATAAATTCAGCAAAGTCTCAGGTTACAAAATCAATGTACACAAATCAGCAGCATTCCTGTACACCAAAAACAGTCATGCTGAGAATCAAATCAAATCAAATCAAAGATTCACTCAGTACCTTTCACAATAGCTAGAAAGAAAACAAAATACATAGGAATACATTTACCAAGGAGGTGAAAGGTCTCTATAAAGAGAACTATGAATCACTGAGGAAGAAAATTGCAGATGATGTAAACAAATGGAAAAATATATCATGCTCATGGATTGGCAAAATCAACATTGTTAAAATATCTATACTACTCAAAGTGATTTACAGATTTAATGCAGACGTCCTCAAACTATGGCCTGCATAGGCCACATGCAGGTGTTTTTATCCGTTTGTTTTTTTACTTCAAAATAAGATATGTGCAGTGTGCATAAGAATTTGTTCATAGCTTTTTTTTAAAACTATAGTCTGGCCCTCCAATGATCTGAGGGACAGTGAACTGGCCCCCTCTTTAAAAAGTTTGAGGACCCCTGATTTAATGTAATCCCCAGTAAAATATCAATGTCATCTTTCACAGATCTAGAAAACATAATTCTATGCTTCCTTTGGAACCTCAAAAGAGCCTGAGTAACTAAAGCAACCTTTAGCAAAAGGAACAAATCTAGAGGCATCATGTTACCAGACTTTAAGCTATACTGCAAGGCTATAGTAAACAAAACAGCATGGGATTGGCACAAAATACAGACATAGAGCAATGGAATAGAACAGAGATCCCAGATTTAAAATCATTCCCATATTGCCATCTGATCTTTGACAAAACAGACACACTGTACCCTCGGGAAAAGAATCTCTATTGAATAAATGGTGCTGGGAAAACTGGATAGCCACATGTAGTAGATTGAAATAGGGAGAATCTATCTCTCTCACTGCTCACTAACATTAATTCAAGAAGAGTAACTGACTTAAACCTGAAAAATGAAACCATAAGAATTCTAGAAGAAAATGTCTGAAAAACTCTTCTAGATATCAACTTAGGAAAACAATTTATGAAGAAGGCCCCAATGACAATCACAGCAGCAATAAAAATAAATAAATGGGAATTAATTAAATTAAAAAGTTTCTCCACAGCCAAGGAAACAATCAAAAGAGTAAATAAACAACAGATAAAATGGGAGAAAATAATCACATGCTATACATCCAATAAGAATTGATAACCAGAATCTATGAAGAACCCAAGCAAATCAGCAAGAAAAAAAATCAAACCCCATTAAAAAGTGAGCAAATGACATGAACAGAAGATTTTCAAAAGAAGATAGAATAATGACCCATAAGCATAAGAAAAAGTGCTCAACATCACTAATCATCAGGGAAATACAAATCAAAACCACAATGAGGTATCGCCTTAACCCAGTGAGAATGGCTTTTATCAAAAAGTCCCCAAACAGATGTTGGTGTGGATGCATAGAGAAAGGAATACTTATACAGTGTTGGTGGGACTGCAAACTGATACAACCTCTACGAAAAACAGTATGGAGATTCCTAAAAGAACTAAAAATAGACCTACTAATTTAAGTTCTGTTCATTACACTATATCTAAATTATGTCTCAAAAACATTTAGAAAAGATATAAACATATTGCATATATATGCTACATATGTGTTATCTATAGAATGTGTGTGAACTACATAACTACTTAGTCTCTAGTATCATGTCTTCAGTACACACTTTTATAAGAGTAATCTTTCTAAAATGCAAATTTTGTTATATTTAATTCCTGTGCAATATCTTTCAATTGATCCTCATTGCTTCCAGAAATAAGCCCCTCACACCTCCACACAAAAAGACATATCTTAAATACAACCTCTACACACTCATACATCCTCTCTCAACTTGGTCTGGTAAATTCTTGCTCATGTATCAGTATGTACACTTCAAATACCACCTCCTGCAGTGGATGCTGTGATGTACCATTCAGATCTTCCTTTATGACAGGAAAACTCATTCACTTAGCCAACTAGAGTGCTACAAGCATACAGTAATTAACTGTGTTTTTCTTCAGGAATTTTCTGGATTAAAAAGAGACACTTTACCCAAGAT